AAGATCGGGACAAAATCGGATCGGGATAACTCGAAATCTCTGAGAATCGGCGGGTTTGGAGGATGTATTGGGCGCCGCGGCCGCTCCAGAGCGTTCCGGAACGCTCTGAGAGCGCACCGGAACGCTCTGGAGCGATTTATCCCGATCCTAGCCCCGTTTTACCTCGCCCCTCCCCCGTACGAGGGAAGCAGCCCCTGGACTTGCCATTGGACGTAGGTGTCCGGCCCTCGCCCCTCCCGTGGAACCCCTCCCTGGAGGGCTTCGCCCCCCACACAAGAGCGTCATCCCTCGTACCGCGCCCTTTGCGTTGCCTGGTGAAGGGGCCCGTAGTTCTGGTTGGCCCATATTCAGCCCAAGACTGAGGCAGGCTCGAGCAAAACGAGCCAGACGAAAATTGCGTTCATCTATCGGAGAAGGCAATTGTTCGACCATGGACGTGGCAGGGAGAGCGAAGCGGAGGGGAGCGGGAGGACAGCAGGAAAAGGAGAAGGGAGAGGGGGAGGAGGGGAAGGGATTGGGGGAGGCGAGGAGGACGAGGGAGGAACAGACGGAGCGCACGCAACGGGAGCAAGAGGCAGCAAGAGTGTGGCACAAGAGCACCCCTTCCCCCTTCTGGGGAAGTGGGGCAAGGGGGGCGGCCTTTGACAAGAAGGCGAAGAGAAGCCTTAGAATGCAATTGGAGCACGGCGCGAGAAGGCAGGAGGGCTTCCAAGAAGCCCCCTGGCTTCTCAGAGTGCACTCCCCATCGCGCCATCCCCGACCGAACACATGCACGCCCCAAATCGAATGCACGTCTTCCCTACTCGATTGCAAGACGTTCAGTATGACGTTTCCAAAAGTGCTGCGCGGAGTCCAGAGAAACGTCATCTGGAGGGTCGGTTGCGACCGCCAAATGGCCTTTCATGCATGAAGCTGGCATCCGCCACCGTGCCCCTTGGCACGTTCAGGCGCGGCAGAATGCCGAGCGCTGCCGGGTAGGACCGCTGCAGTGCTTCCAGGGCCCCCCCCCTGCCGTGCGCACCCGGGCCACCGTCCCCCTCTTCTCCCCGGGCCATGGCCCCTGCTCCAAAATGCAGCAGGCGCGCGCTCCCGAGGGCCAGATGCCTCCCAGACGGCCCAGCATCGCTCCAAGACGGGCCACGTTGGACAGACATGACTCCAAGACGGGCGCCGAGGCCTTCGAGGCGTCCCAGAGGCGCCCCCAGCGCCTTCCCAAGCGGGCCTCGAGAGGCAGAATTGTTTTTCCTCAGGTTGTTGTTGTTCAATGCGTTTCGGGTTCTCGCCGTTTCGAGCTTCCGACGTCTCGAATCGACCGAAGAGGCCACCAGGACTGCCCCAAAATGCCCAGGACGCCCCAAGAGGCCCCCCGAAATGGCCCTATGACGGCGCAAGAGGGCTCCAGGACGGCCCAAGTGGCGCCAGAGATTGCCCAAGAGGCCCCCGGGACGGCCCCAGGGAAAGATCCAAGAGTGCGAGGCCCCAGGAAAAGGCCCCAGGAAAAGGACCGACAGTCCGAGCCTTCTGCCCCAAGAGGGCTTTCACAGGAGGCCCCGAGAGAGCCCACAGAGGCCCCCTCGAGGCCCCCAAGAGGACCCCGAGAGGCAACGACACACCACCGCCCGCAGGCACATGCCTTCAATGCACCGAGGACCCATCGGTGGGCGGCCGACCCCTCTGGGCGGTGGCGCGCCCGAGCGCCACCCGGCACGGGGCGACGCTCGGGCGTGCTGGCGCCCAGGGCTGCGCCCCCCTCCGAGGAGTCCTCGGTGGCGGTGGTCCGCGCTCCTCCCCTGAGGAGGTGGCCCGGGCCAGCTCGCCTCGGGAGGGGCGAGCGGACCGCCCCCCCGAGGTCTCCGGTCTCTGCCTCGAGGGCGGGCCCCCTCGCTCTCGCTGGTGGAGCGCGCCCGGTGGCGGCGCAGGGCGGAGCACATGCGGTGAGGGCCTCGGGCGAGGAGCCATAGGATGCCCTTCGGTCGGGCGTGTCCCCCTACAGGGGGATTTGGGGCGAAAGAAATTACTTAAAAAATGCCCCCCAAATGAGCAAAAATAGTACAGCAAAAATCCCCAGACAATTGTTCTACTATTTTTGAATTTTCCCCCTGGGACAGGCCCGACTTAAGGATGCCCAGGGAGCCCAGGGCCCGGGAACCGGTTGGAACACCAACCGAGGCCTGGCCACGTATACCGTCAAAACTGCCAGAGAAAGCTGCGCGACATGCATGCAAGCCCCCTTGAAGCTTTTTCGAGCGCAGCGGGCCATCCGAAAGTAGTCAAGGATGGACAGAAGATGCACGGATGCAAGGGTACCCTTGAGAATGTTACCCATCCTTGCCATCGGCTTAGACTGTACCACCGCCGCCCTCATCAGATAAGCAATCCTCCAGGGTTCGAAGCCTCCTGGACACATTCCTTAGCGAACGCCCCCGCACCGCTTTGGTGGGGAACGGCGACGTCGCCAGCGACGCCGACGACGACGGTGTCGACGGTGACGACGGCGACGTCGACAGCGACGTCACCCAAGACGTAGACAGCGCCGCCGAAGACGACGTCGAGAGCGACGTCGACCGCGCTCTTGGCGATGTCGACAGCGCCGGCGACGATTACCATCGGCTTAGACTGTACCACCGCCGCCCTCATCAGACAAACAATCCTCCAGGGTTCGAAGCCTCCTGGGCACATTCCTTGGCGAACGCCCCCGCACCGCTTTGGTGGGGAACGGCGA